TTATATTATATTATATTATATCATGTATTATATTATGTATTATATTATGTATTATATTGTGTATTATATCATGTATTATATTATGGATTATATTATGTATTATATTATGTATTATATTATGTATTATATTATGTTTTATATTATGTTTATATTATGTATTATATTATATAACATTACAGTATACATTGTATATATATATATATGTATATACATATATAATATGCCATATTTTTTATGTTCTGTTATATTACATTATATATATATATATATATCATGTATGTATATATTCTATTCTATTACACTAGATTATATATTATAGGGTTGAAGGTCTCGGGTTCCGGCTTTGGGTTCACGGCAAGGTTTCGGATTTGGGGTTCCGAGTTGAAGGTTTCAGGGTTTAGGGTCCCAGTGTTGCTCGAGTCCCGCGGAAGGTTGCTCTCATGATGGGTATATGAGGGTTTCCGAAAATAGGGGACCCTAATATAGTACCCTAAATAGTAGGATCCTTATTATAAGGACCCAAAATGAGGTACCTTAATTGTCGGAAGCTTCCATATTCGGTAGATGTCGTTTTTTCATGCCGCAGAGCTAAGAGCCGCAGCGAGTCGGGTTGCCCAGAATGCTTTCCTTTCGCAGCAGAAAAGTGATGATCCAACTTTCTGGCAATGGCTGCGCAGGGTTCCGTTTTTTCTTGAATTAAATAATGCCTGGTGCCTAGGTGATAGCGATGGCAGAAGGCGGAGACGCACCTCAGCACATCCAGCTCAAGGCAGGTTGCAGGAGTTTGGGGTTCAGGGCGCCGCGGGTTTTCTTCGGCCACTTCTCGTGCAGAGAACGTGCGCAGACTACCCCCGGTCACGAAGCAATATACAAATGGGCAGCAGTGCAGAATCGTGGTAGTAGTAAAGCCAATGCTCGCTTGGCAGGTCAAGGATCAGCAGGGGTCCGAAGTTCAGTTCAAGCACCTCGGCTGGCTCTCGGGTCAACACCCTTCAATGCAGAAGTTCTAAGCCCAACAAATCCTGAAGCCCTGAGCCCTAAAAGTAGCGCGTATCGCAACCCGGCAAGGGTACAAGACAAATCCGAAAGTAAGTAGATTTGATAGGGGGCATGCCCAGGAGTAGGGTAACAAAGGAGCCTCAGTACGCTTAGCAGTATCCTGCCTACATGAAATGCTGGCAGGCTTATGGCCCGACATACGGGGTTTACCCTCCCGAACCCTGGTGAATCCCCCATTAGACCATAGAGCCCAAACCCTAAACCCTGAACCCTAAACCCTAAACCCTACACCTATCGAGCAAACTTAAGGCCTCTGTAGTCTTCCCGGGCTTGCTCTTTGAAGCTCCCACGTTCAGCTCCACATCGCCCAAAGCAAGGATCAAGAAGACGACGCCTTTGCGAAAGTTGTCGGCTCCCCACAACAGTCTGGGAATGTAGGGCTTCGGGTTTGGAGCTTTCGGTTCAATGCCGTCGGTTTCGGGCAAAGGGCTGCTGTCAGGCTGAGCCTTGGGCACAGCTCTTGGCTTAAAGGTCGAAGGCCTAAGGACCCAAAGCGAAAGCTCCTAGGGCCCTAAACCCTCCACGCTAAGCTTCCACGCGCTGGGAGCACACACTTGGTACCGATCTTGTACCCGCCTTCAGCGCTGGCTCCAGGGATGAAAAGATGCAGACAGCGGAAGAGGAGTGAACCTGACTAGTGGATACTCTAAGGGATGCGATAAAGAGTTGCATGGATTGCTAGAAGGGAACTTGAGTAGCACCAGTGTGGTGCTATTGCCCTCGCTTTGGAAAGATCTCGGGGCTTGAGTGCCGGAGACAACCGAGCGAGCGGGGCCATGGCGTCTTCTAAGGCTGGGCTATTGTACCTTGGCTCTCAGATAAGCGTCTATGGGCGAGGTGATCCAGTGGATGTTATCTGTTATCCGTCTTCTCGTAAGGAAGGGAGTCCCTGTACTGGATCGAGGCACTGGAAAGATGGTACTTCCACATGTTCGGGCTGTGCCCAAGACTTCACCAGCTTCTGCCGATGTGCAGTGAGACCTCCGAAGAAACTGCTTGAGTCTTGAGCGAACATAAGGGCCGCCCCGAGCATGGAGATACCTGCAACAGAAACCTCAGTCGCTCCGACACCAACAGGCGATGGCCACCTTGTGTCCGGATCGCTTCAACCGCTCACTCTCAAGCCTTGGGGTCCGAGTGGATCTTGGTGATGGCTGCCTAGTTACTTCTTCATAGTTCGCACCTGCAGCCCTTGCTGATGCTAAGATCGATGATGTTCAGGACCCACCAACGTCATTGTCCGGACTAGTCATATGAATCGCACCAGCGAAAGCGTACCCCTATTCAGTATGCATCCCAGGCAGCTTTCGTCGCCCAAGACGGACAAGGCGCTATTTTTGGTTGAGCTTGCGGAAGATTCGGGGGGCCCTTTGGAACCAGGGTTCAGGGTTTAGTTTGGAACGTCCTGCATTCAGGATTCAGCGTGCCAGTCTCAGAAACTTTATAGCAAGGATCTTGCAATTCAGGGCACATCGTAGGCTACCTGAACCCACCCTACACCCTAAACCCTGAACAAACCCGTAGGCTTTGGCGGAAAGACTCCGTCTGCAAGGTGAGATCCGAATGCGGAAACCCTAAACGTATCCCGCACGGCTTAGGGTTTGGGGTTCAGGGTTTCGGATTTGCGGTTTAGGGTTTGAAGCGTGTAAAGAAGCCCAACACTCCCAAGCCCCTCAGACTTCAGTTCTCGACCGTCAACCCTGAACCCCCCAAAAAAGGACCCGAGGTTTAGGGTTTAGGTGTAGGGTTAAGGGTTTTCAGTTCAGGGAGCTCCGCAAAAGAGACTCATCAAGGTTGACTACGGATGTCGAGTGTAGAATGTGGGGTGTCAGGCTTGCTATGGAGCTCTGAATAACTGCCAAGAGTATCCACGTAGAGTTCTTTATGTGGTTGTAGTCCTTAGCATTGAGCCACCTCTAGTAGGGTTTCGCGGTAGATACTTCAGGGTTCGGGGGTTTAGGGAACCCTCACCCCGTCTGCCACGCAGGGTCCAGACCCCAAGCCCCGAGGCTTCAACTACACGCCCTAAGTTGAAACCCTACAGCATCAAAGCCTCAAGCCGCCAAAACCCTGACCTGTACAACCCTAACCTCCAAACCCGATGCACTAGGCCCTACAGCCCTAAACCCATCAGCAAAAGACCCTAGAACCCCTGAACCTTCAAGATGACTTGGGGTGACTGGAGAAGTAGGATCCTCCTCGCTGCAACGCCTTAGGAAGCCTGGGCTGGCAAATCCCACTTGTTCAGGCTTTCGGGCTTGGAGGTTTAGGGTTTCAGGCTTCCTAGGGTTTAGGATGTAGGGTTGAAAACTCGCGATGTTCTGTCGTCCGGCGATTTGGACTTGGAGCTTTGGCTGCACCCTTTGACAGGAGGACAGCGACACTGACAGCGAGGTTCGTTGGGTCCATGTGCTGTCAGGCATTGATTGAATGATGGTTGTGATGGTAACGGATCAGGACTGTCAGTCTTTCGCGTCGGTGTCAGTGTTGTTTCCGTTGTACCTCTTACTCTTTGTCGGCCTGTCGCGATCTGAACATCTTCTGCCTGCAGTTGATATGTGTCCCTGCTCTCATGACAACTTGTCATAACAGGCATCAGTAGCCTATACCAAAGAATGCCAACATCAAGGAGTCAGGGTAAAGTACAAGTCTTAACACAGATGTGCAGGTTTCTGTTTCTGTATGTACTGTTGCATACTGACATATGAACAGATAAGTAAACAAATAAGCGATAGATCAAGGCACACAAGCAGAACCACACACACATATATGGAATATGTATATATAAATATATATATGTATAAATGCATGCATTCATTTACACACACGCGTATCTATTGCGTGTATATATATACACGTTTATATGTATGTATGTATGTATGTATGTATGTATGTATGTATGTATGTATGCATGTATGTATATACATAGACACATACGCACAAACCTGCTCACACATGTGCACCTGCCTACTCTTGGAAATGGCATGGGTATCACCATCCTGCTGAGCATAGCGACGTTCGCTAGCTGCTGCTTACGCCGCTGCTTCTGCTCCTGCTGCTGCTGTGGTGATTGTGCACTGCAAAGGGGAACACCTGTGCTGGTTTGTTGGACTGGTCGATCGTGATGATGGTGATGATGATACCAGTTGCCGCTGGAGGCTTTGCCGTGCTTGATGATGCCATGATGATGGTTGCAAGTCCCTGGATGGCGATGAGGATGATGATGACGATGATGGTGACGCTACTGATATTTTGATGCAGGCGGCCGAATTTCTGGTGATGATGGTGGTGATTCTGATAATGTGCGTGGTGACTTAGATCTCAAGCCCTAAACAACGACGACAACTTCACCTAAACCCTGTTGCCTTGACCACAAACCACAGATTTTATGGTTCCTTGTCAAGGTTTTCTTTGTCTTCAAAAACGTGGGGTTTTGGGGCTTAAAGTGAAGAGTGAAGAGGCCGAAGCCGGCGGCGGTGGAAACTGCCTCTGGCTAGCGGGCCGAGCACGGCAGGTGGGGGGCAAGCGCTGGGCAGCTTGGCATTCCTCGGGTCCCAGCCCAAAAGACCACACAGAAAGAAACATCCGCCGCAACCCTAAACCCAAACCCTAAACGTTAGACCGTAATTAGACCCTTGCTGTTTGCCAACCCTCGATGCCTGATTTTGTGATGTCGGCAAAGGTTGACCAGAAAATCAACGATGATAATCACGGTCGTAGAGGTACAGTAATGGCAACAGGAACTGGCAAAACATGATGGTTACCGATAAATGCCATAGTGCCATGGTGCTGTACAGACGCTTGCGCTGCTCGTGGGAAAATTGCAATGGTGATGGCAGTACTCGTAATGTTAACGGTTGCCTTTTGCAGTGCCAAGGGAGTACAGCTGATGGTTGCGGTGGTGATGGTGGTGGTGGCGGCAGTGGTAGTGATAGTCGTAATCGCGGTCGCGGTAGGAGTAAGTACCACTCAGTAGCAAAGAGTGAGAAGTTGTCGTCGTCGTGGTCGACGTCGTCGTTGCCGTTCGTCGTCACGCATCTAGGTGCAGCAGAAGGTATTTGTTGGAGGAGTTTCCGGTTAAGAATGGATTCAAGGCTGTTGTGGCTTGAAACACGGGTGGGAAAGGAATACTAATCGCGTCCTTGTCTGGTCCCCTGTATAGTGACCTCGAATTGAGGATGAGGGTTGCAGGAATTTTGATGGGGCGGCTCTTGGGATTGGTGAGGTTTGTGGGTTCTGGGTTGGGTTTAGGGATCAACGGTGTGGTTCAGGTATTTGGTTTATTCGGCGAGGGCTCGTGGCAGCAGGCTTTGAGGTTTTCGGAGCTTTCAACAGGGAGGTTCTGGGCACAGGAGGAATGAAACGAGTTGAATCCCTTTTTTTCAAGGAGCGGGGGGTGGCATAACCAAGCTCTGATGCACGGAACCGCAGTCGACATGCTCGCCGTGGCCCAGGTAAAGTGGCTGGTTCCTTTCATCCTGGTGGGTATCAGCAGTGTGCTCTGCATGTGGATGCTGCACGCGGCGACCTGGTACTACGTCATGGGGATCGTGCGGTTCGAGAAGGCGAAGCTCGGACTTGAATCTGAGCTGACGCAGACTAATGCAGAGTGGCAGTGGCAGGGGTTTCAAGTTCAGTCTGAGTCGTAAGGTATGTCAGGAATCCCGACTACAAGGCGGGAAGCTGCTAAAACCGTTTCTCCTCGGAGCCTTGCGGAGCCTCTCGGAGCCTGACAGGAGGAGCATCCGGGGCTCTTCTCCAACAGCCTTCACCCGGACGAAGTCTCCTACGGCTCGCTGCAGGACTCCGCACTCCACACTAAGATTCTGAAAGGTAAAAAAGAGGCCTAAAAAATTACCAATACTATTTGGGGCGGGGGGGTTCCTTAATATAATTATAGTATAAGTACCCTCAAAACCCTGTTCGAATTATTCAGGCCCCTGCAGTAAGCCCTAAACCCCAAACCCCTTAAAGCCCAAATCCCTTAAAGACCAAAGCCCCCAAAACCTCAAGCCCTATCCTTCTCCCAGGACCCCCTGTCTGCGCCAGCGCCTGAGGAGCTGACGGACGGTCACGCGAGTTAGGGTTTAGGGTTTTAGGGTTTAGGGGTTTGGGTTTATAGGGTTTAGAGGGATTTTTCGAGGTTTGAAGAGAGCAGTGTTACCAAAAGGGTTCCTTCCAACGGCTGCTACAAGGTTTAGGGTTTCAGGAATCCAGGAACTCCTTTTCCAAACTTTGGAGTTTAAGGTGAGTTTTAGAGGTCCTTACACTCAGGGTCTTACCGTCGAGGAACTTGGGGCCTTTGTCCTTAGAAGCCCGCGTGCATTGCAGTGTTTCGTGTGCTGAGGCGGCTGGGCTTCAAGCACGTGCCGCTGAAGGCTCGGCTCCTTCCGCCCTTCTCTGTTTAACTATATCATACTTGGAGGTTCATGGGTAGCTATAAGTGGGGTTATAAGTAGGGTAACTGTAGTTATAACCCGTAT